TAAATTTTAAACAAAATTTGATAAGGCCAATTATACTTACTTAAGTTAAATTTGTATATACATACTTACCTTAACAAGATTTTTCTATTATTCAAAAATAATACCAAATAAATGTACTAAAATAATTATTAAAATATTAAAATTCTAAATATATTTTATTTTTGTAGGCAACATGTTAATTTATTAATAATTATTAAAATTATCTTTAAAATTCGTCGCAGCACATTGAAATAAAACAATAATTTACCTCTAGATTTTGTTTCAATATAGTGCATGTCAAGAGTAATAAAATCCAAAAAAGGTACTGTCTGTCCACTCTAAGTTGGCTGAACTAAGGAATTTTGTTGTTTAGATATTAAAGAATTGTCGTACTGTGTGCTTTTAAAACAGATTTTATATTATAAATAATACTAGTATATAATATGTACTAGTATTATTTATAAAATAAAATCTGTTTTAAAAGCACACAGTACGACAATTCTTTAATATCTAAACTAAAAAATTCCTTAGTTCCGCCAACTTAGAGTGGACAGACAGTATAATGTTATGATTGACAATGTTACAATCATTGTTCAGTGATTAAGAAGGGTTTACGTAACTATATAAAATCAAAATGTGCTATTATGCAACTTTTATGTGTATTTCCAACATCTACTTTTAGGTTTTATTTATAATTCCTTAAATCAATTTAATCGTTAACAATTTTTTAATTTCAAACATAGAACTATATACTAATTTACGCTGTGAATGGTAATGTTTGTATATTTGATGGACCGCATACGTTTTTGATGGCAATATAAATTGTGTCAAGGATGGCTAGATTTTTCTCTTGTAAAATCTACCCTTCCTCTCATACTTATAATGTATATATACATTCGCCCATAATTTTCTCTCAGTTGCTCCTCGTTGTTTTTTTGTAATATATACTTGTAAAGTATTCCTGTAATATTTAATGGAATGCACCATTAATTTAATATTATTAAAAAATATACCCTATGCTCAATTTGTTAAAATATAATTTATATAATTTATTTTTAATGTTAGACATTGTGCTTTTATTTCTATTCAATTCAATGAATTTTACATACATAGGGCAGCACCAATTTATTTGTGGTATTATTATTTTTTAAAATGATATCTATACTGTTTTGTATTTTTATTAAAATAAGATAAATAATTTAAACACCGTTATAAATATTTTCTTAAAATGCTTTGTATTTTCTTTCTAAAGTAAGGTGTCATAAACAATTTAAATACTAACCTGTAAAAGGCATCTTCTCCCCCGACAAAGTGGGTATATGCGCCTCTATAAGTTTGCGTGATAACAAGACACCGTTTTCGCATCACGGTAACAACACTCCCTTATTCGCACGCTTCTTCTGTTATATGTTTTTTCATTCAAAACAGGCTTTCTTCAATATCATTAGATTTAACACTAATTTCGCCATGCTATTTTTAACTGATTATATCGAGGGATTTTCTTTTAATCGCTGCACAACAAGTTAAAAGTCTATGTATTTATGATAATATTAAATGATACAACGAAATAAAATAAAATTAACAAGCGGGAATATTCGTTTTTCTCGACGTGTATTGGTCCGATTTACGTTATTTTTTCTTGTTCTGTTAGAATCCACTAGAAAGGTTGTGTTTTGGTTAGATCAACGATTTTTTATTTATTTAATAAAATCATTGAATGACATTTTGTTCTAATAATGGAATGGCGTGCAGCATTATTTTATAAATGTTGCTATTGCTTTTGGTCCACTATCCATTGTTACTTTTGAAAATATGTATATTATTAAAAAATTTTGAGAATATTTTAAGTTTTGTTTTTAGTTTCATCTGCAGTGCTATATTGCTGTTTATTTTCTAGACGATTGCTTTAGTCAGATCTAAGAGAACAATTGGTGAAAAATTAATGCATTGGATGTAATATTTCAAAGTGCCATTACATTTGTTTTGCTAAAAAACATGATAAATTAAAATTAAATTCGATTTTACTCCTTCGTGATTAAGAAGTTACCATTCCCAAGTAGCACAACTGGGTTCAGCATTCTAAGTAAATTAACCAAAATTTAAGTAAAATAACCTTTTTTATACTTGTTTTTAACCAATTAGTTGTATTCAACCAATAAAATTTTTTTAAGGTAACAATGAACTAAAAAATAACTCTTTAAATTTAACAATCAGCTGCTATAACCTTAAGGTAAATTTAAAGGTTATTTTTTAGTATAATTTAGCTAATAAAAGAAACCTATTGGTAATATTACCAACTAGTAAAATATTTGGTTTAATTATAATTAAACCAAATATTTTACTAGTTGGTAATATTACCAATAGGTTTCTTTTATTAGCTAAATTATACTAAAAAATAACCTTTAAATTTACCTTAAGGTTATAATTATAGTCAATTTAAACTCTTAAACTAACCTAAATTTACCTGAATTGACTATAAATGAACCAAATATTTAATTAGTTAGTAATATTACTTATAAGTTAAAAAGTGGGTTATTTTGGAAGTTACATAACGTTATAAACGTTAAGACCTATTTTTTTTAGACATATTTTGGTTTAGTTTAACTTTTAATATTACTTTTTGGTAAATTAACCACAGCTTTGGTTAATTGGATAACCAACAAATTAAATGTTACCAAATATAACTCGCTGATAAATAAACGATAACTAAAAAACTGGTTAAAAAAGTGATGGTTTTGCAGTTTTCATTGTTACATGCATAGAATAATTTGTCTTAATACAGATTTATATATAAACCTATGTGTTGTGAGTTTTGTGTAAAAGAAATAATTTTAAAAAATATAGACTTTCCTCAACTTACTATAGAAAAGTTAACAAAGTTGTAAATTATAATTTATCTACAAATCTTAAAACAGTTCCCTTACATTTAAATAATTTGGTAAGTATCTATAGGTTTTATCACATAACAGATGCGTTAGAAATAACTGAGGCGTCTATTTGCAATACCGGCTGCATCCATTTTAAGATAATTTACAAAATCGACAAGAATATTGCTACTCTTAACACGGAAGGATTTTTTCTTTTTTAATTATTTTGATATAGTACCTTTAATGAGATATTACTTTGGGCAAAAATCTAGAAATCCTATACTGATAGTAAATATCTTATAAAAATTTGAAGTATGGATGCGGCCGATTTTGAAGTAAAAATATGGATCTGGCCGATTTTGGAAAAAAATAAAATAGCTTATTCATGCATTTTTATTGTTTATTATAAGAATAATGTAAAAAAATAACAAAGTAAATGTGGTTAGTAATTAATATTCTTTATACAAAAACAATTTAGAAAAAATTTAGAATAAACAATGGTGCGTTCTGAAAACATTACCTACTCCAAATGGAATAAGAGGATAAAACAAGATAAAGATTTATTTAAATACTAGGTTGTTCTGTTTCTTCAGGCGTTTCACAAACGGCAACTTCAGAAAAAGCAGAAAACAATTTATTGTCAGTATTTTTTTATAATATTCTAGGAAATCAATTTCTTGCCAATTTATTCCATCATGTTATTTCCATTGATTAAGGTGTAACTTCACAACGATTTGTTGTTTTAAATTAATTTTTATATTCTGTTTTAAATATATTTTTTACTTATTTCAACTTCAAACAACTTTTTCCGTGCTGTCTATAGTAATATCGATAGTATCGATATCACAAAAACTATCATGGTCGAATTTTTGACTATCGCACATCTCTAGCTGATACACCTCACTGAAACTGTCACTGTTGTGTAAATATGGTGACTGCGATTCTTTGAAGATGTAAAAACCTGTAATTTGGAAGTAGCCTCTATTGAAACAAACTCTACAATGGATGTGGCCGCTTTTGAAAAATATTCCAAAATTTAAACGTACATTTTAGCGCGATCTAACCGCTTTTAAAATAAATTGAGTTTATCACGTGATAAAGCACATCTTATGTATAATATTATAATATAGTTTTCTACTGTTAGATAAAGTTTGATAAAATATGGATGTAGCCACTATTGCAAGTAGACGCCTCAACTAATTATATATATATAAATGTCATAGCGAAAAACCACTCACTAATAATTATTATAATATAATATAATTATTATAATTAGTCAAATTATACTATATGAAATAGTCAAATTAGTAGATTTAAATTTAAAAAAGTTTTGACCCAGCCGAGGATTGAACTCAGGTATGTCACTTGTCTAGCTATCAGTCACGCATGTGGCTATCAGTCACTCTTATAAAAATCAATTTTATTTGTCAATAAATATTATTCATAGTTAAATATATTATTTGTGTTGCTATTTTGAGCTAAACGTTTTGCATCTTTGTTTGTTTTTATGGGCCATTTAACCATGGAGCTTTATGCATTTAATTCAAATAATACTTTGTTGTTGGCCGCAAACGATTAAAGAAATAGTTACTTTTAACTCTCGGAAATAGTCAACGATTTTGACTTATCTTAAATTAGTCAAACTTTAACTATTTACGTACCTACACTGTTCAAAATCAAGCCTTTTGAAATACCTAATCAGAATTAGTTAAGAAAAAATAAGGTAATATGCTTAAACGAGTAAAGCAATTTACCTTCTCGTTTATTAGGCAGAAACTAATGCCTTTGTTCTATGGTGTATTCACTAACTTCTAGATAAATATTGTAGCGAGTACCGCTCTGGATATCGGAGTGATGACTCATCGCCGGTTAGTCATCGCCGATGAGTCATCGCCGGTGACTCAGCGCTCGAACAATCGAGAGTGTGGAGCTCGCTGGAATGTTCCAGAAGACCTTGGCGCTGAATATATAAGAAACGGAGCAGCACACGGCAGTCAGTTAAGATTTGGTACTCGCGGCGAAATAAATAAATATAAGTGCAAATAAATAGACTCTTGAACAATAGTGATATATAAATAATTAGTAGTTAAGTGTTTAGTTAGTTTTATAGTGTTTTAAGTGTAGTTAAGTTATTAAATAAATAGTTAAGTTCGTTAATTAACCAGTGCGTGTTTTTATTCACACTACGAACAGTTAAAAACGTTACAATTGGTGTCAGGAGTGCGGTTAGTGTGAAATTTCGCGAAAATGGTTTCGTTAATGGACTTAAAAGTGGCGGACCTTAAACGAGAGCTAGAAGAAAGGGAATGTGATACAACTGGAAAAAAAAATGTGTTGCAGCAGCGGCTTCGAGAAGCGTTGGAGCAGGAAGGTGAAAATCCAGATGAGTATTTATTTGAAGGCCCTTGTGACATGCATTTAATGTTGCAAAATTTAAAAGAACTAAAAGTCGATTTGCAACAGAAAATGGTGGAAAGTTCTAGCGATTTGAAAGTCGATTTACAACAGAAGATTCTGGAAAATGTCAATGATTTAAAGGATGATTTGCAACAGAAAATGCTGGAAAATTCCAACGATTTTCAACAAAAAATGCTAGAAAATTCCAAAAATTTGAAAGAATATTTGGAACAGAAGATTCTAGAAAATGCCAAGGAATTAAAAGAGGACGTACGGATGGAATTGAATGACGTAAGGAAGGAATTGGATTCGAGAGAGGAAAAATTGAACGAGAAACTGGAAGTCAAAATTAAAGAAATAAATAGTAAACTGACAGCTATAAATCTACCCATGATGCTGGCGGAACCAGGAACAATGCTGGAGGGGAGCCGAGTTCGTATGAAACCACCTCAGTTCGATGGAAAAACTTCTTGGACCAACTACATCCGTCAGTTTGAGGCAGCAGCAAAAGCAAATGGCTGGCTACCAGAAGAAAAAGCTACAGCATTAACTCTTGCTTTACGCGGAGATGCAACGGACATCTTGCAGACACTTTCTCCAAACGAACAAGAAGATTACGAAGCCTTGGTGAAACATCTGGAACTGCGATATGGCCAGACACATTTGGAACATGTCTACCATTCCCAACTTAAGAACCGCTGCCAGAAATCAAACGAGACTTTGCAAGAATTCGAGGCTGATATTGCACGCTTGGTTCGGCTAGCATATCCAGCTACTCCAACGACCGTTATGGAACGATTAGCGGTTCAAGCCTTTTTGGATGGACTTCGGGACAACGAAACAAGACAGGCTCTGACGTTGGCTCGTCCGAGCCAACTGGTTGATGCATTGGCTCGAGCTTTGGAATTCGAGGCGGCAAAGCAGAGCTGCAGGAGCCAGCCTAGAATAAGGAGAGTCGATGAAGAGAAAGAGGAGGAACCCAGTATAATTGACGCAATTAGGCGAGTTTTTAAAGAAAACCTACCAGAGAAGAAGGAAATCCGGTGTTGGAGATGTGGAAGGCTAGGACATATACGAAGTCGTTGCAGAGAAAGCCAGGTGGCGCTGACTTCGTCTCAGTCGGAAAACTAGATAAGGTCGAGGAAAAGGGGCCACCGTCGACCTGTAACCAGCATGCCCCAGAAGATATCGAACGCGTTGCATCTCTTCTACACCAGTCCAGCAGTGTTTTTGTGGATGGTTTAATTAATGGAAAATTACATGTGCTGCTGCTGGATACAGGTGCGACGAGGACAATTATAAGGCCAGATATTGTCGAAACGTCCAAGATCAAATCTACCAATCGGCGACTACGTACTGCAACAGGAGAAACCGCTACTGTTCGTGGAGAAGTGGACATCACGATGGTCATAGGAAACACGAAATTTAAACATCGAGCATTAGTTGCAGATATTGAAGATGAAGTTATTGTAGGCATGGACATTATGAACTCAATAGGATTTGAACTGAACTTTAAGCAAGGAATATTAAGGGTAAATGGAGAGGAAGTCGTGTTGCATCGATCTAAAGAAAAGAATATTCGTGTAATGCTAACAGAAGATGCTTTGATACCGGAAAACAGCGAGATGATATTGAAGGCTTTCTTGGATTGTAAATCAGAAGATGGAAGTATAATGCTTCTGGAGCCGAGAATTGATGACAAAGAGGTCGGTCGAGGAATTGTAGTAGGGAAGACTTTAATACGCGTCGGAGAAGAAGTGCCTGTAAGAGTATTGAATGTTAATGGTTACTCTGTGAACTTGAAGAAAGGAATCGTTTTGGGAAACTGTTCTTCAGTTTCCTCGATTATTAGAGGCATTCGTGAGTCAGCAGTTCCGGCCAAGAAAGTTAGCAATGAATTGACGAATCTTCTGTCGACTTCTTCAAAGGATTTGAAACCCAATGAAAGGATAAAGCTGAGAGAGCTGATACACAATTATCAGGATGTCTTTGACGACGGACATGAAAAGAAGGGTAGGACAAGAATTGTCCAGCATAAAATTAACACCGGTGATGCACAGCCCATTCGACAGTCGGCAAGAAGGCTACCACTTGCCAAGCGAGAGGAAGCTGATAAAATTGTGCAAGAAATGGAGAAGGAAGGGGTGATCGAACCATCCAACAGCCCATGGTCTTCCCCAGTGGTGTTAGTTAAGAAAAAGGATGGATCAACTCGATTTTGCGTTGATTTTCGTCAGCTGAACAACGTGACGAAGAAGGACAGCTACCCTCTACCTAGGATCGATGACACCCTGGATACATTGGCTGGATCGCAGATATTTTCAACTTTGGATTTAAAGAGCGGTTATTGGCAAGTTGAAATGGCACCAGAAGATAGAGAGAAAACGGCGTTTACCGTGGGTGCAGGACTGTGGCAGTTTACTGTCATGCCGTTTGGACTATGTAATGCCCCTGCAACTTTTGAAAGGCTCATGGAAATGGTTTTGAAGGGACTATCCTGGAAGACTTGCTTGGTGTACCTTGACGACATTATTGTGGTTGGAAAATCATTTGAGGACCATATGAAGAACCTGAACGAAGTTTTTCAGCGCTTGAGAAGTTCCGGCCTGAAGCTTAGCCCAAAGAAATGTCACTTGTTCCAGAGGGAAGTGCAGTATCTGGGCCATGTCGTTTCAAGTCAAGGAGTTTCAGTTGATAAACAGAAGGTAAAGACGGTGCGGGAATGACCAATACCGAAGAATAAACATGACTTAAGAAGCTTTCTTGGATTATGCACCTACTACCGTCGGTACGTACCAGGATTCGCAAAGGTTGCTAAGCCTTTGACACGTTTAACAGAGGGAGAAAGACGATTCCAATGGGACGACGAATGCCAGGAAGCCTTTAAGAACCTGAAAAACGCGTTGACCAGCTCACCAGTTCTGAGTTATCCACTTCCGGATGGTGAATTTATTTTGGACACGGACGCCAGCAATGTGGGCCTGGGAGCTGTCTTGTCGCAGATTCAAGAAGGAAAAGAGAAAGTTATTGGATACTTCAGTAAAACTCTATCGAAACCAGAGAGAAATTACTGTGTTACTCGACGCGAGCTGTTGGCAGTGGTAAAATCAGTCGAACACTTTTACAAGTATCTGTATGGAAGAAAATTCCTGCTAAGAACGGATCATGCTGCCCTAAAATGGCTTTTGCAATTCAAGAATCCTGAAGGACAGGTTGCAAGATGGATTGAGAGACTACAGGAGTTCGACTTTGACACAGAACATCGGGCTGGAACCATCCATAGAAATGCTGACGCCTTGTCAAGAAGACCCTGCCCGGAAGACTGTAAACATTGTCTTAGGGCCGAAGAAAAGGATGTGTTTGTTCGCAGGACTACAATCGTGGATGATCATTGGCAATCCGCTGAGGTTCAACAAGACCAGGAAAGGGACCCGGATTTGAAGCTTATCATCGATTGGAAGAAGAACGACCGTAAACCAACGTGGCAGGAAGTCGCCCAATATTCGCCGAATGTGAAATCCTACTGGGCCCAATGGAATTCCATTATCTTAAGTGACGGGCTTCTAAAGCGCGTTCTGGAGATGCCAGAAGGGGGGGAAGACCGGAAGCAGATAATAATCCCCAGAAACAGGATACCAGAAGTGCTGCAGGAAATCCATGATGGAACTACTGGAGGACATCTTGGGGTGACCAGGACGCTCGGAAGACTTAGGGAACGGTTTTATTGGGTCAACAGCCAACGGGATGTGAAGGAATGGTGCAAGAAGTGCGCCGTTTGCGCGGCAAGCAATGGACCCCAGAAGCGCCCAAAAGCCCCAATGCGACAGTACAATGTGGGCAGCCCATTTGAGAGAATTGCAATCGACGTGGCGGGTCCATTTCCGGAAACAGAATCTGGAAATAAATACATCATCGTTGTAATGGACTACTTCAGCAAGTGGGCGGAAGCGTACGCTTTGCCAAATCAGGAAGCTGCCACAGTGGCCGATGCCCTTATTAAGGAGTGGATTTGTCGTTTTGGTGTGCCAATGGAGATGCATTCAGACCAAGGCAGGAACTTTGAATCTATATTGTTCCAGAATGTCTGTAAAATTCTTAACATTCGAAAGACGAGGACGACTGCATTACATCCGCAGTCCGATGGAATGGTAGAACGAATGAATCGAACCATAAACCGGTACCTGTCTAAGGTAGTCTCTGATCACCAAAGAGACTGGGACCGCTTTCTTCATCTGTTCCTGTTGGCGTACCGTTCTTCTATCCACGATACAACCGGCCAGACACCCGCTAGCATTGTTATGGGACGTGAACTTCGTCTACCTTGTGACCTGAGGTTTGGTTGCCTACCAGGGGATGATATTGCTGGAGAAGATTACGTTAGCAATTTACGTAGGAAAATGAGCGACATTCACAGCCGAGTTCGTTTAAACATCCAGAGTGCCAGTGATAGAATGAAAGAGGCATACGACATCAAGGCGGAAAATGGAGGATTTCAACCTGGAGACCTAGTTTGGTTATACAACCCTCAGCGCCGTCGTGGTTATTCACCGAAGCTGCAGACTTCTTGGGAAGGACCATACGAAGTCATGGATCGCATAAATGACATCATCTACAGGATCAGAAAACAACCAAGAGGAAAGCCGAAAGTGATCCATTTTAACCGATTGGCTCCTTACGCTGGAAACAATGATGGCCAAATAAACCATGCTAGAGTAAGACGAGTTAATCCTCCGGAAGACGAGTTGCTTTTTGAAGACTTTATGTATTTATATTCGAGCGGTAAAAAAGCTCGCTTTGGTGTCACTCGAGAAGAACAACAAGATCTGTTCACGGTTTCGGCCGATTACTCCTTGGCTCACTGTGTTGCAGAAGACCTAAGGATGTCCAGGGGAATAGCGGTTGTTTTTAAAAACAAGTTTGGACGGATCGACGAGCTACGAAGGCAGAATCCCAAAGTTGGAGAGGTGCTTGAAATTGTGAATAATGAGCAGATAGGCAATAGAAGTATCTTCTATCTGGTAACGAAGCAGCTCTCCCATCAGAAGCCAAACTACGGTGACGTATGGAATGCCTTAAATAAATTGAGGGATGCCCTTTTATCCAAGGACATCATGAATCTGGCGATACCGAAGATTGCTTGTGGACTTGACGGCTTAGACTGGAGAATAATTAGAAGTATGGTGGAAGTTATCTTCAGATTTAGTGGCATACACATTCTTGTCTGTTGCCACAACCCTAAAAGAACATCCGGAAGGAAGACCGTAGACTGCTACTTCTATAGGACGTCACAATGCAAGTTTGGATCTCTATGCAAATATCGCCATGGAACTGAGGACCATTTTCGGGACGAAAATGTTTTAAGACGGGGGCAATGTAGCGAGTACCGCTCTGGATATCGGAGTGATGACTCATCGCCGGTTAGTCATCGCCGATGAGTCATCGCCGGTGACTCAGCGCTCGAAC